CCCACAACCCTGCCCCCTGCACCCCACACCCTGCACCCCTGCAGCTCTGCACCCCACACCCCACAACCCTGCACCCCTGCAGCTCCGCACCCCACACCCTGCACCCCACAACCCTGCATCCTGCACCCCACACCCTGCACCCCTGCAGCTCCGCACCCCGCACCCCACAACCCTGCACCCCTGCAGCTCCGCACCCTGCACTCCACAGCCCTGCACCCCACAACCCTGCACCCCTGCACCTTGTATCCTGTACCTTGTACCCTGCATCCTGCACCCCACATCCCTGCATCCTGCACCCCACAACCCTGCACCCCACATCCCTGCACCCCTGCACTTTATACCCTCTACCCTGCACCCCACATCCCTGCATCCTGCACCCCACAACCCTGCACCCCACATCCCTGCACCCCTGCACTTTATACCCTCTACCCTGCACCCCACATCCCTGCATCCTGCACCCCACACCCTACATCCTGCACCCCTGGAGCTCTGCACCCCTGCACCTTGTACCCTGCATCCTACACCCCACATCACTGCACTTTGTACCCTCTACCCTGCACCCCACACCCCTGCATCCTGCACCCCTGGAACTCTGCACCCTGAAACCCTGCAGTCCTTTGCTCTGAACCCTGGACCCTGCACCCCGAACCCTGCATCCTGAGCCCTGCACCCTGAATCCCTGCATGCCTGCACCCCACACCCTGCACCCCAGCACCAACACGCTGCCCATGGTGCACCCTGCACCCCTGTACCTGACACTCAGCATCCCTGTCACCCTGCACCCCAACTCTCTGTGTAACTCCCTGCACCCCTGTGCCTCTGCACCCTGACTCCCTGTCTCCACATGCCCTGTTCCTCACACCCCACACCCTGCACTCTTCACTTTGCACCCTGTGCCCACCCACCCCCTGCACCCCACACTGCACCCCTGCACCCTAAAATGCTGCACCCCCCCACACCCTGGCAACCCTGCACCCTACGCTGCAAGCCCTGCACCCCCACACCCTGCAACCCCGCACCCCACAACCCTGCAACTCCACATCCTACACCCCACAACCCTCCACCCCATAACCCTGCACCCCCACCATTCTGCACCCTACAACCCTGCAACCCCCACCCTGCAACCCCCACCCTGCACCCCACAACCCTGCACCCCCACCATTCTGCACCCACAATCCTGCAACTCTCACCCACAACACTGCCAGTTTGGGGGGGGATGGTGGTATCCCCTCGTTGAACCCCCTGCCTGGCCCACCCATGGGGTGTGGGGGGCTCAGCACCCCCCCATCCTGCTGCCGTCCCTCCCCAGGGAAGGGACAGATGGGAGCCACGAGGACGCTGAGGCTCAGCCTGCTGGGCTGCCTGCTGCTCACCCCCCGGCTGCACGGTGAGTGCCAGGGGTCGGGGGGGACACCAGGGTGCCCCCCACTTCCTGACACAACCCCCCCCTCACCTTCCCCATAGGGCAGGAGGCGGCTGCCTGCCCCTCGGGCTGGGTGTCCTTCGAGGAGGGGTGCTACGGCTTCTTCCCCCAGGAGCTGAGCTGGAGAAGGGCAGAGGTGAGGGCTTCAGGGGACGGGGGGATGTGGGTTTGGGGGTCACCCTGCCCAAGGAGCACCCCATCCACCCCGCAGCGCCCCATGGTGCTCAGCAGGGAGCTGGGTGTTGCTGGTCCCTGATGTAGCTGTACATTGGGGTGTTGGTGCCACCTGGGATGGGGATGCTCCTCTCCAAGGGGGTCCTGGCCCCGTGTGGGACCAGCTGCCACCACGGTGGCCCCATGGCCACCCTGCGCTGAGGGACAGTGTCCGGCTGTGCCAGGCACCACGTGTGCCCACAGCACCAGTCCTGCCATCCTCATCCTTGGTGGAGCCAAGGGCTGGGGTTGGGGTTTGTATTTGGGACCAGGGATTGGAGTTGGGGACCACAGGCTGGAGCCAAGGATCAGAGACTGGGGTCTGGGGCCAGGAATTGGGTTTGGGGACCAAAGGTTGGGGACAGGGACAAGCGGCTGGAGTTGGGGACCAAGTGTTGGGGCCTGGGGCCAAGGTTTGGAGTCAGGGACCAGAGGCTGGGGTTGGACACCAGAGGTTGGAGCTGAGGACCAGAGATTGGAGTCTGGGGCCAGGAATGGGGCTTGGGGACCAAAGGCTGGGATCAGGGACGAAGGACTGGAGTTGGGGACCAGAGGCTGGGATTGGGGACTAGGGATTAGGACCCATGGCCAGGAACTGGGTGTCAGGGACCAGGGGTTGGGGTCTGGTGTCACCCCCTGTCCCCACCACAGGCCTTTTGCCGGCGTTTCGGGGTGGGGACCCACCTGGCCTCGGTGCACAGCGAGGAGGAGCACGGGGCCATCGCCACCATGCTCTCCTCCTCCCACCCCGCCGAGGGCAGCGAGGAGGGGGACAAGGACAACGGCGTCTGGATCGGCCTCCACCGTCCCCGGCGGGTGAGTGTGCCCCCGGGGCAGAGCCGGGACCCCTGGGACCCCTCAGACCCGCTCCCGGTAGCCCCGAGCGGCACCAGCCGGGGGTCACCGAGCCACTTTACCCCGTCCCCAGAGCAAATACTGGCAGTGGTCGGATGGCTCGGAGGTGGACTATGGCTCCTGGCACCAGCAGGAGCACGGCTCCAGGAGGAGAGTCTGCGCCGCGCTGCAGGACTCCACCGGTGAGCACGGGGCACCAGGGACACGGTCACCAGCATCCCTGGCCAGCAGGGTCCTCCGGCCACCAGCACCCCCAGCCATCAACATCCCCAGCCATCAGGGTCCCTTGGCCACCAACATCCCCAGCCATCAGGGTCCCTTGGCCACCAGCACCCCCGGCCACCAGGGTCCCTTGGCCACCAGCACCCCTGGCCACCAACATCCCCGGCCATCAGGGTCCCTTGGCCACCAGCAACCCCAGCCACCAGCATCCCCAGACACCAACATCCCCGGCCACTGACATCCCCACTCATCAGGGTCCCGTGGCCACCAGCATCCCTGGCCACCAGCATCCCTGACCACCAGGATCCCTGGCCACAGGCATCCTCGGCCATCAGGGTCCCCAGCCACCAGCATCCCCACTAATCAAGGTCCCCTGGCCACCAGCATCCCCAGCCACCAGCATCCCTGGTCACCAACATCCCCGGCCATCAGGGTCCCCAGCCCGACACATGCACACGTGCAGCCACCCCTTGCACACGCGTGTACACACTGGGTGCATGTGGGGGGTGACATCCCTTGTCCCTTCCAGATTTCCTGACGTGGAACAGCGAAGCCTGCACCCACAGAAAGCCCTTCATCTGCAAGTCCAGCGCCTAGAGCTGCGGGCAGCCCTGCCTGCACCCTGCCTGCACCCTGCCTGCACCTCTGCCTGCACCTCTGCCTGCACCTCCCCTGCCTGCAGCCCTGCCTGCACATCCCTGCCTGCACCCTGCCTGCACATCCCTGCCTGCACCTCCCCTGCCTGCACCCTGCCTGCACCCTGCCTGCACATCCCTGCCTGCACCCTGACTGCAGTGCTGCCTGCACATCCCTGCCTGCACCCTGCCCACCCCCCTGCCCTCCAGGGCGCGGGTGGCCACTGGCCACATTAAACGTCACCGAGCCCAGCCTGGTCTCCGCATCCTTCATCCCGCTCCCCCGGGGCCTCACCGCTCAGATCGGGACCCCCACGCTGCCCCACAGCGCCATGGGGCTGGGGAGGGGGGGACACAACCAGGGCCTGGCGTGCACCCAGGGTCACCCGGTCACCAGCCACCACGGGGACAACCTGTCACCCATGTGGGACCCTCGTGGACCCAAGAGGATCCCCTGGTCCCAGTGGGATCCCCCACAGCTCTTGTGGAACCCCCATGGCCCCCCCTCAGCCTCCTGTGGCCCCTGTGGGACCCCCATGGCCCATGTGGGAGCCTCATAGCTTCCAGCAACCCCCCTCCCAAACCCTCAGACCCCCATGACCCCATGGGACCCCCATGCCCTGGGTCAGTGTCTCCTATAGATGACTCCTGCAGTGGGGCAGCCCCATGGCCATGGCTGCCCGTGTCCCCACACCATCCCCATCCCGTCCCCATGTCCCCATGTCCCCATCCCAGTCTGCCCAGCCCCGTTTGTTGTGCAGGTGCCATAGTAACTGGGGGAGGAGAGCCCGGCCAGAGCTCCGCACGGGCAGGGTAAGGGGGCTCAGCCCCCCCAGGACCTCTGCCCCGGGGCTGGGGGAGCATCCCGGGGGTCCCAGGGGCTGCACCCAGGGGGTGCCAGGGGCTGTATCCATGGGGTATTGGGGGCTGCATCTATAGGGTACTGGGGGCTGTATCTAGGGGGTGTTGGAGGCTGTATCTATGGGGTATTGGGGGCTGTATCTATAGAATATTGGGAGCTGCATCAATAGAACATTGGGGGCTGCATCCATGGGGTGCCAGGGGTTGTATCTATAAAGTGTTGGGGGCTGTAACCATGGGTGGCAGGGGCTGTGTCTATAGAGTGCTAAGGGCTGCACCCATGGGGTATTGGGGGACATATCTATAGGGTATTGGGGGCTGTAGCTATAGGGTATTGGGGGCTGCACCCATGGGGTATTGGGGGCCATATCTATAGGGTATTGGGGGCTGGGTCCATGGGGTATTGGGGGCCGTAGCTATAGGACACTGGGGGCTGCATCCATGGGGTGCGATGGTTTATTCCCTGGAGTGTCAGGACCTGCATCAAGCTGATGTTGGGGTTCACCCATCCCCCTGCCCCAGTTCAGCCCTGGGGGGCTGGGGGGACCCCCTGGAGATGGTTCCTGCTGCGCTGAGCTGGGGGCACTGGGGTTGTGGGGCAGGGGGGGAGCTGCAGAACCTCAGAACCCCCCAGCCATTGTGACACGGTGCCCGCTGGCACCCCAGCTGCGTCCCCGCGTCCCCCGGGGAGGGGACCCCGGCTGGCTCCGGGCTGAGGGGCTGCGCTCGCTGCCGGCAGTGCCCACCATGTCGGCCGACCCCTGGGTGGGCACCTGGAGGCCCCACCGCCCCCGCCGCCCCATCGCCGCCCAATACAGCGGCCCCGGGCCCAAGTACGGGCTCCCCACCAATGTCGGTGAGTCGGGGGGGGGCACGGTGCTGGCAGGGGGGTGCCGGGGGTCCCGCAGCCCCACCGACCCTCTGTTTCCACACCACCCCCCCCAGGCTACCATCTGCACGACCCCTCCCGCAACCGAGCCCCCGCCTACAGCTTCGGGGTGCGGGCTGGGGGGCAGCAGCCGGAGCGCTCCCCGGGACCCGCGTACCTGGTGCCCCCCGGGACCACCACCAAGGGCAAGGACGGGATCCCCGCCTACTCCATCCACGGCCGCCCCCACGACCTGCCGCCCTTCCGCACGCCCGGGCCAGGTGAGGGGGGCTAAAGGGAGTCCCAGGGGGGGCAGCGGGGCTGGGGACCCCCCCCAGCTGTGCCCATGACCCCCCCTGTTCCCCTCAGGCTGCTACTCCCCGGAGAGGGCCGGCAGGCTGACCTTACCCTGCGCCCCCGCCTGCTCCCTCCGCTCCCGTGGCCGGCAGTTCACCACCGAGGAGACCCCGGGTAGGAGAGACGGGGGGCGGGATGGGCCCCCATCGACCCCGGGGTGGGCTGCCATCACCCCTGGGCTGAGACCCCCATCACCCATGGGCTGAGCCCCCCCCATCATCCCTGGACTGAGCCCCACATCACCCATGGGCTGAGCCCCCCATCACCCCTGGGCTGAGCCCCCCATCGCCCCTGGACTGAGCAGATCGG